TACCTGAAATATAGTAGTCTGATATTCGGCTGCAGCAGTTGCTAATTCATACCTTATATATCTGTCTTATGTATCTTTCTTATCTTATTTATACCTTCAATGTATTTTTATTTATACTTTATTTATACCTTAATTTATGCCTTATGTGTCTTTTAATGAAGTTGCTATAATACAATATGTACCACATCATCACTAACAGTTATGAGGCAAATTAATCTGCATTAGTCTGATAACGTGAACATGCCACATAAAAGCAAAATGCAAGTAGTTTTCTTGCTACTGTACACTCAGCTATTCCCAGCGAAATGTCCCCCAGCCTAGACACTGGCTTAGTTGCACTTAATCAGTCTTAACTGCTCAGCTTCCTGTAGGGAGAAGAAATCTAAAAAAGCTTCGGTATCACTGTTAATGGGTTACCCGGCATCATCATTAATACCTTCAGTTCCAAACACTGGGCATCTCAGTTCATTACAGCAAATCCTGATGCGTAAAAACTCCAAACTGCCCGCTTATCAGCAGGGCACCTCAGACCAGACATCATGTGCGTCCTACAAGTATGCCTGGAGCAAAGAAAAGTCAAAAATCTTTTCATCTTCAAGGAACAAGTTGAATTCCAGGCAGTTAACTTTTGCACTCTTTTAAAATAAAAATTAACACTGCTACTAATCCCAATATCTGCACATTCACATTCACTAATTGCGAGATTTGTGCATGCTACCACCAAAGTGACCAATTTTGATAGAGGTGTTTTTAATGGGTTGTCTTTGTCTCAGCTCTTGGCACTAGACCTTGCAAACAGGATTGACACGTTCATTAGATAAGTCTGAATCGATTCATTACTTAAATTTCTTGATCTCTTTTCTCCTCGTTAAAGGCATATTCTCCTCCTCTTTTGCCCATCCCTCCCCCCTACCTTTGCACCTGGACATAAATTACAAGTGCCTTGTAGGTTTAGGAAAATTTGGAGAGAGAAACAGAAGATTTTGAACGTGCAGGGCATAGTGTTTAAAAAGTTGAAGAGAATCCCTGTTCTAAAGTATTACTAGCAATAGCCTATCAACCTAAACTGAACACTCAATAATATCAGTGCTGCTTTAACATTACTATTTTATGGTAACTTTGGCTGTAACTTTCCATTGATATTTAGCGTAGACTATTGCAGAGTACGAGTATACGCTTAGCTGCTCTTTCTGTGATAGCAGAATCATTTTTTGTCTGTATATTCCTGAATTTCTCTTAGTTCAACAGCAGCGGTCGCATAGAACACAAGGTAAAGGTACCCAGTCATGGGGGATAATTATTACTGAGCAAGTTCGTATTAGGCTAAAAATAAAACTTCAGCAGTTCTTATGGGACAGATAATTACCAAACAATTTTTTCACATCGCTGAATTGTATCTTGAATTTTCACCTTTTAAAGTTTTCTACCATAATGACATTATAGGAGACTGTAATTAGGTAATACTGCAATTAGGTTATAGTTTTATAGTTTTGAAGTTGTTTTCTGAAATACTTTACAAACACACAATCTATAAGGAGTTAAAATGACCCTAGGAACACCGATGTGCAGGATAAATGTTCTGCACATAGTTTGTTTTATTTTGTTCTAGGAACTTATAAAAAGCCCACCACATCAATTTGGGGGAATAAAATGAGTCGGAAGTGATAATTCCCCACCTCTCACTTCTGCAAATTGCAAATATGTCTAGTTCTGCCTTGATGTTTCACTGGCAAAAGGGATTGCTCTAGAGGGGGATTTTTCTCTCTCTCTCAATTATATGTGCATGCTAGAGTAATACTATTAGGAAAAAAACAATCTGATCATTGAGTTCATCCTCCAATGTACATCAGGGTTATTCGTCAGAATGTGTTTTCTGAAATGAAATGCCACAGTTCATGAATCTTTATTCTCTTCACACGGAAGAGTACTGTACAGTCTCTTGGGTTTTGGTACTGCTAAAAAACAGTTATGCTGATCAATGATAAGAAATGCCGAATCATGAGGACAAGAGATCTCTGAGGAAAGCATGTATCTTGGAGTGTGCAAACTTGTACCACATAGCTGTGTTGAATTTTTATGACATCTACCACTGCGAAAACTTGTTGAGAAGCAGTATATGTTATATATTATATACTTGTATAAGCAAACATACAGTGAGCAAGTGTTCGTCATTACGGATTGTCTCCTTTTACAGATGAAAAGTAGTTTTTCCAGCTATGCATTTTAAACCAGTTCCTTTCCCTTCAAAGAAACCAACTATTCGTTGGTGACAGCTCTACAGTTTAGAATATGGATTTTGAAAGGGGTTGTTAAGGAATGTTAAAATGTTTATGGTTAATTCCAAGAAGCGTAATATAGTAAATGTAGTTTAGGAAGTGCAATATTGGTGTTAGACAGCATTAGACAGCTACCGAATAAACACAAAAATAGGTTGTACATGTTTCTGAAATTTAAAATGAATTTTTAAACAATATTTATTTTAGTCAGCTTGTAGCAGCTTCAGCAGATGAGTGTCCCTTACCATTTAGTATGAATTTCAGAATCACAGAATCGTTTAGGTTGGAAGGGACCTCTGAAGATCATCTAGTCCAACCTCTAAGAAAAAGAGCCACTATTTAAAAAACAAACAAAAAAGCCTCTGCACTATTTCTTTCACTGTTCCTTAGGTCTACAGTTCCCATTAAATAAAATTACTGATGCTGATAAAATTACTAATTACTGATACAATTGCACTGAGAAGTTAAAGCTGAGATTTATAAAACTGTTAATTTTTTAAAGTGTTTCATGAGAGAATTATCACTGGAGTATGTAAATGACACAGTCTTCTGATATCTTAGAATAAATTTCGGTTCATGTGCCTTATCTATTGGTAATTCTATAAATTTTAGTTTTTAAGAATGCTGTTCTACTACTCAAAATAAGAAAATAATCTCTACCTTGCCCCAAAGAACATACAGATGAAATGAAACACATAGGAAAGGGCTTCAGAAGATCCAGGCAGGATTACAAGAAACCAATGAGAAAACATCCAACTGATCTTAAGGCCATGTTGTTGTTATGTATGTTATTATATAGCTTGTTTCTGCTTACTGCAGGAGCTGCTTCTCAGTATAAAATAATGAGTTAGTAGTAAAAGTAATTTCTATGGGCATTAAGACAAGTGATGTGAAAAGTACGGCTCAAGATTTCAGTGTACAGAACTGTTAAGAGGGGTGTTAATTTTCTGGCAAACTAAGCAATACATCCTGAAGCATTCAGGATTTGCTTTTCCCTTACAAAAACCTATTTAATTTTACTGCTTACTCAAATATCCTTTGTTAAGCAAATGCAATGTACATTCACCCATCTTTTACGCAGAAGGAGGAAAAGTTCCCAGGTTGTTGGGGAAAATAATAGGTGGCTAGATCATCACAGACTTTGTCCTTATCTTTGTAGATTCACACAGAGGTTGGAAATTAAAATATGCATGTCTTGGTATTTGGCGTTCTGTTTTTCAGATATTTTATGTATAAGCTAAACTTACTTATAATTTAAGCATGAAAATAAAAGTAAAAAATTTTTAATAGCAAGTATACAATTTTTTAGCTCCCAGTTATGTTCCGTGCAGCTGTAGTACATATGCATTGGCATGTGTGTATGTGTACGTATATAAATACCATCATCAAGTTTTCAGTATTGCAACATCACTTGAACCATAGTACTCATTGACCTCTTGTCTAACAGAGTATGAGATGCACATATAAATATAAGTATGTCTTTCAGAATATTATTGTAGACTAATACTGTAAATGTATGAAAATGAAATATTTTAAATTGATCCTGTCCTGTGCATTTACTAAAATCATGTAGTTCAGAAGTTTAACATATTATATTTAGAGTGATTACTATATCAGTTTAAAAGATCTTAGGTCTTAATGTAGTTGCACGTATCTTTTCTGATGTGTGTGTAAAATATATATATATATATATATATACACGTGTGTATGTGCATGTGCAAGTCCATATAATGTAAATGTTAAAGCTAACACCAAGTAACTTGATTTTCACTTCTGTCTGTTTGAATGGGTTTGGAAGATATTTTTATTATCCAGTATTCTGTTTACAAAGTAGATTCACTGGTATAGCATGTAAGAATATAAGACAGACCTGGACAGGTTGGAGAGTTGGGCGGAGAGGAACCTCCTGAAGTTCCACAAAGGCAAGTACAGGGTCCTGCACCTGGGGAGAAATAATCTCATGCACCAGGACAGGCTGGGGGTTGACCTGCTGGAAAGCAGCTGTGCAGAGAAGGACGTGGGAGTGCTGGTGGACAGCAAGTTAAGCATGAGGCAGCAGTGTGCCCTTGTTGCCAGGAAGGCCAATGGTCTCCTGGGGTACATTAGGCAGAGTGTTGCCAGCAGGTGGAGGGAGGTGATCCTGCCCCTCTCCTCAGCCCTGGGGAGGCCTCACCTGGAGTACTGTGTCCAATTGTGGGCTCTCCAGTACAGGAGAGACATGGCACTCCTGGAGAGAGTCCAGCGGAGGGCTCCAAAGATGCTTAGGGGCCTGGAGCATGTCTCCTCTGAGGAAGGGCTGCGAGAGCTGGGCCTGTTGAGCCTGGAGAAGAGAAGACTGAGAGGTGATCTCATCAATGTGTACAAGTATCTGAAGGGAGGGTGTCGAGAGGATGAGGCCTCCGTGGTGTCCAGTGACAGGACAAGAGGCAATGGGCAGAAACTGAACCACAGGCGGTTCCATCTGAATCTGAGGAAAAACTTCTTTCCTGTGAGGGTGCCAGAGCCCTGGACCAGGTTGCCTAGAGAGGTAGTGGAGTCTCCTTCCCTGGAGATATTCAAAACCCACCTGGGTGCAATCCTTGGCAACATGCTCTTGGTGACCCTGCTTGAGCAGGGAGGTTGGACTAGATGATCTCCAGAGGTCCCTTCCAACCTTGGCCGTTCTGTGATTCTGTAATATATTTTCTCTCTCTCTCTCTCTCTCTCTCCCTCTTTTTTTTATAGTTTGACAAAGGATATGCTTACAGCATCCGCCACAACTATGGGAAAGAAGGAAAGAGAACTGATTATACCCCGTACAGCTGCATGAAGATTATCATGTCCAATCCACCAAGTCAAGGGGATTATCATGGTAAGTTCTTAAAACAAGAAGCTTGAAAAAGAGTGGGAGCTACTGGACTAGAGAAGAGAAGCAAGTAAACCTCCATTTTTCTGGTGGCAGGTAGTTGAAGGATGAGGGTAGTCCCTGCTGTACTCTGTTCATTTTCTAGTGATTAGTCTTACTTGCTGAATAATATTGGACAAGAGAAATTCGGTTTTATGCTCAAAGTCTAGACTCTTTTTTTCTCTTACCCTTATTTCCACTTTATGTGTCAGAGAACAGAAAGTTATATTCTTTTTAAACTTTGCTTTCAACCTGGCAAATTTATTCTATTAATATTAATCCTTTTGTATTCAGAAGGTTAAGTCACTTGGTGCTCTTTTAGATTCTTAATTTCTGGTTGTAGAATAACATTTTGGCTTTGCAAATTTATTTATTACCTAGCGATGGCATATCAAACTGAGGGTCTATCTGCATTGAAGTTATCTCTTTGAAAATCATGACTTACGTACGCATACCTGAGACAACTCAGATACCGCAAAGGGAAGCTTAATGTGGACTAAATTTTCCATCACTCTGAAGAAGTAAAACTTAAGCAATTTGTTTTGCTATGATAGGTGTAATGATAAAAGTGTATTGTTTATTCCTTTACAAAGCAGCAGTCATTATAATGACTCTCTAATATACATAGTATTTGAGTTTTTATCATTTATACTGAAATAATTTTAAAAATCAGTTTTGTAAAACTTCTGTCTGTATTCAGACAGAAGTTACATTTGGAATTTACTTCTGAAATTTTCACTTCACAATGAGCTCATATTTTCCGTAAATATTATGGTGCTCCATCCAGAAAGTCTCTGGAGGATTTTTGGGTATGGTCTCTGTCATGTTATTTACTTCTGCAGTCTCTTAAATTAAACAGTTTCAAGGCCACAGCGGTCTTGCACTGCACTGTTCTTTTAGATAGCATTTGGTAGCTTTTGACTTCATATGAGTAGTGTCACCCAATACAAGGAGACTTTAAATGTTTAGATGCTTTAAAAAATGACCAATTAGAGGGAGTGTGAGGAACTGTTAATCCAAAGCCTGTTAGGGTACTTTATGACCTCCTTCAGAGTAACAAAACATGGAGAACCTGCACTGACTGCACCATTGTTATTCTAGCACTAAGTTCGTTCATTTGCATCTAAAAACTAATTTTGGGACCCCAAAAACCTTGTTTTAGGTGATGGAACTTTTTAAGGTAATAGTTTACAAAGGACTATGCTTTAAGGACTAGTTGGCTCTCATTACTTCATTTTTCCTGGGTGTTGTGTGTTCTGATATTATTTGAGCGTAGCTTAATATGCCATAGCTGTTAAAGGTACCAGTGCTATAGTTGTTAGTAAGGAACTAAGTGAAACTCTTTTCCAGTCAGTGAATGAGAATTGTGGTCTGCTTATGTTGGGATATTTTATGTAACTCTTGAGCCTGTTGTGCCCTGATAACTGGGCAGTGGAATAATTATTAAAAAACAAAAACAAAAACAAACAAAAAACTAAGTTATTGTACACATGAGCAGTTAGCTTTTTTTAATTAATAAGCTGTTAGGCAGTCAGGAACAGCACAGCTGGTCTCTTGAGTGCCTTTCTGTGCTAACTCCTGTGTGTGGGCTTGCTTGTGTTTTTGCTGTCAGGGTGCCCGTTCCGCCACAGTGATCCTGAGCTGTTGAAGCAGAAGCTGCAGTCATACAAGGTGCCTCTAAATGGAATAACTCAGGTAAGGTATATTTTGTTTGGAGCTTTCTTTAATGAGGCACTGCTTTTCATTTTTATTTTTCATTTTTATTTTATATTTGTGTAGGAATATTATATTTCACATACATACTAACGAATTGCATACCTCTTCTTATAAAAGGTTTCAACCAGAATCTTGTTTTCTTGTTGTAGTGCTCCCACTTGCGTGTTGACACTTGTCACCATGTTTATTGTTTAATGTTATGAGTTGTTTTATTACTAGTGGATAAATGTAGGATTTTGTTTTACTTTATTTTACTGCACTGTAATAATAAAGCTTAACTGAATCTGGCAATATTTTGGAGAGTCTGTTTGTTAATTTTGTGCGGAATTGTGGAAGGCATTGCTGTGTAGTCAATATACGTGAGTCATTTTCTGTAATGAACTTCTTAAAAATAAATAAATAAATAAATACAATTTGTAATTACCCATTGTGCTAACTTTCCATAAACAGTAAAAGGACATGAAGCTTTTAGTGTAATATAGAGATGTCAGCAGCTTTTTAAAGGTAACATAAAATTGAAAACCTATTTTATATAGTAAAGACAATGCAGAAACTAGAACGTTTTGATACGCATACTGAAGGACAGTGACTGCTGTTAATTGTTCTAGCAAGAGGATAAGGAGATGAATGACACTTCCTTCACTGAAGGAACATGTACGGGTTAGAACTCAGCTTGAGACAGTTCAGTAAAAAATAAAGTGTATTAATTGCGTGAGAGCTATTTAAAGTCTGTAGGAAAACATTTTTTTTTTGTTTGTGTGGAATATCACCATTACCAATCAGGCATCAACAGGCTGTTGAACTGGAAAGAAAAGAATGTGAAAGTTTCACTCAAATTAGTCTAATTGAAAGGGATAATTAAGATAGAAATTAAAAGACAGTCACTTTAAATTTTTTATTGTTCACTTGATCATTCTTTGCAAATTCTAGAAGTTCCTAAGCTTTTTTCTAGGAATGATTTTTTTGTTGTTTTTGCTATTTTTCTTTTTCCTGGACTATATAAATAAGCAGTTAAGCAGTCTTTCATATATCTGACAGGTACTGGAGATACTTTCCGTTGGCTTTTTTTCTTTTATTTAAGCATCAAAAATTGATGGTGCTCTGAGATTTTTGTCTTGCTAATCGTTGGAAAGATCAGGGAGGATTAACTGATTTAGCTTCCTTGCTCTATGCAGGTAGGATTCAACTGATATTTTTTCAGTACACTTTTCACAGTGGAGCAGTGGCTTTATATTTAGCATAGTTTTTAAGTAGGATCGGGATTCATTAGGAGTTTTACATTTTCCTGTCAAAACTAAATAATAACATGTCCCCATGAGAGGCTGCTTTGCCTGAAAGTGGACTCTGTGCTGTCTCATAATGCAGTGATGTCAGTCGAAGTGCAGATTGGAGGTACAGGGCTCCACAGTAGCCATTCCTAGAAAAGAAAAATGAAAGACTTAAAGTGCTGGATGTGCCTGGATTTGCAGAAACTGACCTTTTACAGCGGAAGTAATGGTGGAATGCTGACTCTAGCTGGCACTCTTCCAGGTGTTCAGGAGTAGGAGGAGGGCTGGTTCACATCTATTTCCAAGATCTCATACAGATCTTGTGGCCAATGCTCGTTATTGCTACGTTTGTTTGGTCATGTGTGAGTCTATGTTCAGAATCCTTCAGTTCAGAAAGTGGCTTTTTTGAGTCTTCTCAGATGCTGGTGATAGTTGCTGACCTTTCAGTTGTTATAGAAACAGTTCGACCCTAGGTTTCCGAGGAGCAGTGTCTCACACAGGTATAGCAGCAAAATTAATTAATTATTGATTGGTGGTACAGCAAAGCAACAGCTTGAACTGGGTTCCTCCAAGGAGGGACACCAAACAAAGAAATTCTGGGGTAATTATACCCTTCACAGTCTTATTTTTCTGCCTGTTAGTGAAGATCTCTTCCAGTCGTCTTTACTGAGTCAGTGGTCTCGCTCCTTCTCATTGATCCTGACCTGTGTGCCAGGCTGGTTGCTGTGTCTTTTCTTCCACAGTCCCTTATCTCACTTGAAGGTTAGCCACAACTCGGGTACATCCTATCTTGTCTCCTGCATCCTGTTTTGCATCCTCGTTAGCCAATTTTAATCGGTTTTGTGGTTGCTTTGTCAGCAATGTTTCTTGAGTTCATTGACAGTTCAGCCTTAAGGCCTGTAGGCTTCATCTACTTTAGGTACAACTGCTAAGCAGGAGTTAGATTTATGCTGAGCTGAAGCTAAATCAATTACAGTTTCTTTCTCTAACACAGTGGAGTGTTGTTTTGTTGTGGGAGGAAGTCTATGAGAGACTAGATCTTTCAGTGCCTCTGATATAGTTGCTTTCCCAGCATCTGGACCTCAGGGTTGATATTTGCGCAAACCATATCCTTTGAATTCGTTAAAAATTCTGTTAACTCTAGATCAATGAGAGCTTCCTTAGCACCTGAAAGAGATTCCCATCTTTAATAAATGGTTTGGAGCTTGACCTTTCAACTATGTATTATACTAAACAGTACATCTCTCTGGGGACTCGTGGCCTCTTACACTTGTTCCTTGCTTTGTTCCAAAGTTGTTCTGCTGTCTTCAAACGTGACTTCATTCTGTGCGCTGTCTTGCTATACGCTGTAGGCAAGCAAGTTGTCACAGTGAAAAAAATCCCTTCTGTATTGTCAAAACGGATCAATTTATGCACTGAAATGCTTTTTCAGTTCTCTCTGCCTGGTTTATGGTAGCAATAAGTGCTACCCCTTCGACAGAGGGGGGACTCGAGCAGCCATGTACGCAGGCTGATGGACTCTAGGGGAGCAGGGATTTCACATCAGTTTTCCAGAACTCGGAGCGATCTGGAACGTGTTGAAGTCTTGCATCCAATTAATGAAAGACAGCGTATGAAATAGGTGAATTATCAACAAGTGTGTGTGTGATGGTGTCACGGGTGAGACAGAGTAAATGAGAAGCTACAGTGGATCTGCATATTGGGATTTATTTAAGAATCAGTGAGATTAGAACAATTACCCTCCTTGACTATCTCACACTCTTGCTCCCCCCACGGAGATGCATTCACTTAGATCTCGACTTCCTTTTCCAGTAGTAAGATTGCTGCTGGTCTGGGAAGGTCAGGCAAAAAGTTGTGTTGGTTCCTGCTGTACAGTTACTGACAGTTACGAGTCTCCAGTGTTACTGACCACAGTCCCTGGGTATTTATCTCCATCCATCTCTCTGATCTCCAGGATCTTCTTCCACCTCCTGGATCTTTCCTTCAGCCGGGATCTTCACCACCTTCTTTTTGGGCCCCCTAAGTGTGCTTTTTTTCCCACTTCTACATCATCTATCTGCAGAAGCACAATGTGTGATCATCTTCCTAATTGATGGTACTGTCTCATTTTTTTTTATTAATTAGAAAGTCATGATATGTCACTTTTTGTCCAAACATTTTCAAAATTTAAAACCAGCCCGTACTGGCTGCAGCTAGCAAGTAGCAGGCTTGTGCTTCAGAGTTCAAAAGTTCAGTTGTGGACGTTCAACCCCCATGCATGTATCCACAATTATCTACTGCTTGACAGCATTCACACTTTAAATTATTTTTTGGCTACCACAGATGGGAGGTGCATGATTCTTGTTTTTCTGCCGGGAAGTGATTGGTCTTTCAGACAAGGATATTGCTCTTTTGGCATTGGAATGTAGGACCCACCTGTCAGCAATTCATTATTATGGTTCTCCAGTTATTTAGCAGACAAATTGAATAAATTGCCCATGTCAGCCATGAATGGGAGAGCCAATCCAGGGTCCTTCCAGAGCATTTTTGGAAGTGAGATCATCTCCTGACAGACCTTTTTTTCTCCCGGATCAGTGGGAGGTGTTGACAGATTTGTTTAAGAGCGTGTCAGCATGTCAATGAGAATTCAGCTCATTTGACTCAATGCCTCATAGCTTGGTTGAAATGTAGTGGGTAATGTGAAGATCATATCTGTAGTCTCTCTTTCCAAGGTTCTGCTGTTACTTATTTCCCTCACGTGGCTAAGGAATTCCAGTGTTCGGATTTTCTCACTTTCTTTTCCCCAAACGTGTACCTAAACTTCATATAGTCAATCTGAGAAAGGTTCTTTTTTAATTTTAGAGGCTTGTAAGTTCAATTACTAATAAGTAACCTTTCTACAATTTGAAAAGTGGATAGCAGCAGCTCATCAGATCGCTGTGGAGGTAAAGGAATCATTCTCCACCATAATGTGTATGTGTGTGTGGAAAATATTTAATCAGATTGTCACAAGTGACAGTATGATCTGCAGCTGCCAGCTTCTTACCCTATGCAGAAGAAATGGCGTAGTGTTTCCAGACTCCTCTCTCTTGTGTTGCTTTCTGTTCCCTGGGCTTGTATCTTATTATTATGAAGAACCAGATGAGTCTGTCTCTTGCAGTTTTTTAGTCTATGATTGGGTATTAAGAAATCTCATCAAATAGAACCATGTCAAAAGACAGCCAAAGAAATTGAATATACCTGACTTAATCGTGCTTAAATGCCATCTTGGGTGGTATGGGCTCCAATTTCTCTATTGTTCAGATACAACTTCTGACTATATTGGAAGCTATTTCCTTATTTGGGTAAGTTATCACAAATATAGGGAATACTTTACTTCCCCAGATGAGGAAATGGTCAAAAATGATTTGTAAAATGAATCTGTTTTAGATGCAATGAGATGTGGTTTCTGACTTTCTGGAAGTGGCTGTTGGGATGGGATTCATCTCACCTAAAATTAAGTATGTACAAATATAAACATTTACATCTTGGCGAGAAAGTTTTTTGAGTACCCATAGACTTTTCTCAACTATTCTAGGCAATCAGATAAGAGTAAAGACAGAAGAGTTCTGTCTGGCCCGGAGTTCAATGCCTCTACCACAGCTTACCTTCTTCAGGGAGTGGCAGTGTCTTGGTAGAGCTTAGGACAGTTCAGTGCATGCCCAACTGTTTGCATCAAAGTTTGCCTCATGA